CACACAGCCCCATACACATCCACCACCATCACTATACACCTCCATCCCCATCACTATACACCTCCATCCCCATCACTATACACCGCCATCACTATACACCACCATCCCCATCACTATTTAACTTTTTTTGTGGGAGAAGTGTTCAGAGCTCCGCCCACTCCACTTTCCACATTATAGGGGCAGCTTTGGCCCCGCCCAGCCAGGGAGACTCTCAGCAGAACAAACATATCGTGTTTATTACGGAACTTCCGAGAGATCTGAGACGCATTTCTTCTCCTTCTCCTGTAGGGATGCACATGGACGGGTACGGCATGTATCCCAGTGAACCGGCTTCTCACGGTAAGACATAGAAATCTGCCGAGGACGATGCGTGTCGATCTCATTGCACAGTCTACTTCTAAATCCACCCAGTGTGAGGATCCGTCTGATCGCAATACAATGTGAATGGATGAGGCCGGAGGTCACGGCACTCAGTCCATCGAGTCCATCCAATCAGATTGCAGCGTGCAGACATCATACACGTGAGGATGACAGATCCTTCCATTGGCCGATCGATCGGTCGCAGATTTCATCATCTTGTTCAAAAGCAGAAAAGGATCATTTGGGGTCCATTCATTCGTCTTTCCTTCAGGGCCGATTGTTCCCTTTTTTTTGATCATTCATTGAGGTGTCCTCCGAACGTTGGGAGGTATGGACGAGCCCTTTAACTACATAGGTGTGTGGGCAGGGCTGTGCCAAAGTCTATGGAAAGGCATTTAAAGATGGCGGAGGTGCCCTTGTGGTGCATTGTGGGCTTTTCTCACTGCTTCTGCCAGAATTCTGCACAGAGCTTGAAGCCCGGTTACAGGCATCCCTTGCAATGTTCTGGGCTGCCATTTCTAAACTTTAGCAAGACATCAGCAGAGTGTTGCATGTCAGAAGTGATGGCGGAAAGTGAGATGAATCCGGATTTCAGGAGGCTTAGAGGGTAATTCTTACATTCTCGAGACTGTCTTGCCTGAAAGTTGAAATCTCTTAAATGTATACGCAGAAAAAAAACCTTTATACTAGAATAAGGACGAGTTAAAATGCCTTTCTGACCCGGTGACAACCGCCCCTCACATGTCTTGTACAGTTGTCACAGGGACAAAAAGTCAGGAAGAATCTCTTCAATGAGGTCACAGACAGCAGTAAAAAGCTGCCATAGGTTTTCAACAAAAGAATATTATTTTTGGCTATATATGGCCAAAAATTAAAAAAATACAGTGTTTTAGTACATTATTATTATACAGGATTTATATGGCGCCAACAGTTTGCGCAGCGCTTTACAATAT